TTGAGGTGCCCTGCAGTTACTGGTGGCTGTAGATTTGGACAAATCTCTGTGACACACTGTACCTCAAAATGGAACCCTATAACCCTCATATCCGTCATTCATATATGGTTGTGATATTTCATACAAAACATGCCATGTAAGGTATCATATCAAAGGTCATGATCTGTGGAAACCCGCTGTTCTGGCCAAATATGTATATCATGAGTGTGTCTGAAGTTATGAGATTTTGCTGTATGGTTGTTACTGAAATGTGCTGTACATTTGCTAGTGACGTACAAATGAACCCCGCCCAGGAGGGTGCTCAACGACCATCAATCAGCTGGGGAGTTGTAATCAAGGGATTCAATGAGGGCTGTCCAAGCACCCCCTAATGGGGACTGCTGGACCCCATGACTCAGTTGCACAAGACCACACCAGGGGGATTGCCCAACCCAGTGACTCAGCAAAACCCACCAGGACATGTCTGGGCAAGAGTCTTCTAGGCATATGGACTAAGGATATAAAATAGGGAGCAGTGGCAGCAGGCCTTGGCCTTTCTCCTCCCCCACCTCCGCTGGAAGCGACAAGAACGCTGAAAGGATGAAAACTTCATCTGAGGAGACTAGTGTAGGTTTAAGAGGGAAACCTGTGTATTTTGAATAGTCAAGATGCATCCAACCCCAAAACTTTGTGTTCTTTCCTAAAGTGTCAACCAATTTGCCTGGTACTGATGTTAGGCTTACCAGCCTGTAGTTACCCAGATTGCTTCTGGAGCCTTGTTGAAAAATCAGATTTATATTAGCTACCCTTCAGTCATCTGGTCCAGAGGCTGATTTAAGTGATAGGTTACATACCACCGTTAGTAGTTCTGCAGTTTCATATTTGAGTTCCTTCAGAACTCTTGGGTGAATCCCATCTGGTCCTGGTGACGTATTGCTGTTTAATTTATCAATTTGTTCCAAAACCTCTAATGACACCTCAATCTGGGACAGTTCCTCAGATTTGTCACCTAAAAAAGAATGGCTCAGGTGTGGGAATCCCCCTCACATCCTCTGCAATAAAGACCACTGCAAAGAATTCATTTAGTTTCTCCATAACGGGCTTGTCTGCCTTGAGTGCTCCTTTAACACCTAGATTGTCCAGGGCACCACTGGTTGTTTGGCAGGCTTCCTGCTTCTGATGTAGCTGTTGGTTTTTGTGACTTTAGCTAGTTGCTCTTCAGATTCTTTCTGGGCCTGCCTAATTATACACTAGCTTCCTCATTTGTGTGTGGTTCCCCTTTGTGAAGTTAAATGTTGCTGTGCTGGGCTTCTTTGGCACTTTCCCCCCATGCGGATGTTAAATTTAATTACATTATGGTCACTATTACTGTGCAGTTCAGCTAGATTTACCTCTTGGACCAAAGCTAAGGCACACAGAGATGCAGTGACTTGACCACGGTCACGCTGGGAGTCTGTGATGAGCTGGGATTGAGCCCTGACCCTGCCTTGCCTCACTCCAGGTACCAGGCTCTGGCTCCTGGCTGAAGACTCTGGCTCTAACCCTTGGCTCTGGCACCTGGCCTCTGACTCCAGTTCTGACCCTGGGCTCTGACACCTGGCTACCAACACCTGCTGTAACCACTAGGCCTGATGCCTGCTCCAATCCCTAGGCACAATCACCCACATTCACATCTTCTGCTTAGCACTTTTCACCCATGGACCTCAAGGGAACCAAAGCCATATCCCTTCAGTGTAGACATGGGGAAACTGAGACACACCGTGGTTAAGGCCCACCTTTTCAAAGTGTCCACTAATTTTGGGTACCCACATTGAGATGCTCAAGGCCTGCTGTGCACATTCACCTCCCATTTATTCTGTCGGGAGTTGTGTTCAGAAAATGAGGCCCTAGCTGTGTCCCTAGAAAATTTAAGCACCAGAAGTTGACTGCAGCTGCTGAAAGTTTTGGCTTGAAACCAGAGAGCGAGCCAGGACTACGATGAGAACTCAGGAGACCTGCTTCCCCATCCCCATCCTGCCCTAGTCTCTGAACCCTGCTGATTCCAATTGAATCTGTTTTCTTAAATGTTGGCCTGCAGCTACTTTTGAATCCTGATGGTCCCGAGCTGGAAAATTCAGACTTGGATTTGGAGTAACAGAATTATCAGACACAGAGATGAACATGATTTGTTTGGGAAGAGTCAACATGGTTTTTGTAAAGGGAAATCATGCCTCACCCATCTATTAGAATTCTTTGAGGGGGCCAACAAGCCCGTGGACAAGGGGGATCCAGTGGATATAGTGTACTTAGATTTTCAGAAAGTCTTTGACCAGGTCCCTCACCAAAGACTCTTAAGCAAAGTAAGCTGTCATGGGATTAGAGGGAAGGTCATTTCGTGGATCAGTAGCTGGTTAAAAGACAGGAAACGTAGAGTAGGAATAAATGGTCAGTTTTCACAGTAGAATGAGAGAAATAGCGGAGTCCCCCAAAGATCTGTACTGTTAGAATCATAGACTAGCAGGGTTGGAAGGGACCTCAGAAGGTCATCTAGTCCAACCACCTGCTCAAAATAGGACCACTCCCCAATTTTTGCCCCAGATCCCTAAATGGCCCCCTCAAGGATTGAACTCACAACCCTGGGTTTAGCAGGCCAATGCTCAAACCACTGAACTATCCTTCCCCCTTCCCTGTTCAATATGTAGTGCTCCCACTCACTGGTGGATTAGCCACTGGGGCCCATGCCCAGGGGCCCTGACCAATTGGGGGCCCCCCGTACCCTGATCTGCTCCGCCTGCCTGGTGCTCCTGCCAGGGAGTGAGCGAAGCTCCCACCCCCTGACCCTGCTCCCCGTCAGGAGTGCTGGGCGGGGGGCGGGCAGGACTGCAGGTGGAAGAGGTGGGGAGGGGTCCCCACTTGCTCTCACCCAGGGCCCCACAAACTCCTAATCCGCCTCTGCTCCCACTGGTGACACAAGAACACAAGTACCAGCCTAACGGCAGCCTGTTAAAAACCAGGTCACAAACCCAAATTGGCTCAGAGTTCTAAATTTAGATTTCACCAGCCAACAGCCCCAAGTGCAAACTCCCCAGGCGTTCCAACAGGCTACACACAAAGTCACAGACAGTCCCCTTGTGTACTCCGGTCTGCCTCACCGCCCAAGACAGCATATCTCTGCGACAGATGTCGCCTTACGCCAAGGATCACGGCAATATTCAGGCTACTCCTGATCCCAAAGGACCAGTTGCTTACCCCAGGTCAATTGCATTTTCGATCTCACACCAAAGACAATGCTTGTAGTCAATCCTATAATAAACAATCTAAAGATTTATTAACTAGGAAAGGAAACCAAGGTGATATTTGCAAGATTAAAGCAAGCAACTATAGGCATGCAAATGAGTTACCATCTTAGGTTTTCAAAAGTAAAAGAGGCTTCTGTAGTCAGCAAGCTCTTTAGGGCTAAGCAGCTGGGGATCTTTGCTTATACCTGCCAACACTTTGCCTCATCAGGCTCCAGAGAGATCCTTAGTTCCTTTGGTTTGGGGTTTTTTATCCCCCACGCACTGCCCCCGCCATGTGCGCTGAGCTACAAACTCCGCTGCTGGGAGGAGTCCACTCGCATGACTCATCTTCACGGTGCGGAGAGCAGAACGAACGCTGAGTGTCGTTGGTCCTTTTGTTGGTGATTCCTCCGTCCAGATGTGGGGTTTCCAGTTGTGGGAGCTCCAGCCATAGCCCATATGGTACAGATGGCTCTCCTCTTGCGGAAGGAGTGTAACAATTTCTGGAGAAGAGCAGCTCTTTGCACTAATTAATGTCCCTCTCCTTCACGGTGATTCACTGGGTCCCAGAGACAAGTGCAACAGCTCAGATATGATATTACACTCTGGAACACAGATATTACACGTAGGATCAAAGCAGGCAGCAGCTCACAAGCGTTCGATAGTCTAAACACTAAATACTTTCTTAGAATTCTAATACCTATTTTGTCAATATCAACCCACAAGTGAGCCAGACAGGTTCCAGGTATGTCTCTGCTAGTGGCTAGTCGAGATATGGGGACCTTGGCATGAACTAGCTCCTGGCCTGCCGGCATCACAAACAAATTCATAAATGGTCTGGGAAAGGGGGTGAGCAGTGAGGTGCAAAATGTGCGGACGATACAAAATTACTCAAGATAGTTAAGTCGTAAGCTGACTGACCAGAGTCACAAAAGGGATCTCACTAAACAGGGCGACTGGGCAACAAAATGGCAGATGAAGTTCAGTGTTGATAAATGCAAAGTAATGCCCACTGGAAAACATCATCCCAACTCTACATACAAAATGACGGGGTCTAAATGAGCAGTTGCCGCTCAAGAAAGAGATCTTGGATTTGTGGTGGATAGTTTTCCGAAAACATCAGCTCAATGGGCAGCAGCTGCCAAAAAAGTGAACAGAATGTTAGGAACCATTAGGAAAGGGATAAATAATAAAACAGAAAATATCAAAATGTCACTATATAAATCTAAGGTACTCCCACACCTTGAATATTGCATGCAGTTCTGGTTGCCCCATCTCAAAAAAGATATATTGGAATTGGAAAACGTACAGAGAAGGGCAACAAAAATGATTGGGGTAGGGAACAGCTTCCATCTGAGGAGAGATTGAACAAACTGGGACTTTTCAGCTTGGAAAAGAGACAAGAAAGGGGGGATATTATAGAGGTCTATAAAATAATGACTAGTATGAAGAAAGTGAATAGGGAACTGCTACTTACCACTTAGCACAAGAACTAGGGGACACCTAATGAAATTAATAGGCAGCAGGTTTAAAACAAACAAAAGGAAGTACTTCATCATACAACACACAGTCAACCTGTGGAACTCATTGCCAGGGGATGTTGTGAAGGCCAAAAGTATAACTGAGTTCAAAAAGGAATCAGATAAGCTCATGGAGGATAGGTCCATCAATAGCCATTGGCCAAGATGGTCAGGACACAACCCCATGCTCTGGGTATCCCTAAACCTCCAATTGCCAGAAGCTGGGACTGGACGACAGGGGATGGATCACTCAATATTTGCCTTGTTCTGTTCATTTCCCTCTGGTGCATCTGGCACTAGCCACTGTTGGAAGACAGGATACTGGGCTAGATGGACCTTTGGTCTGACCCAGCATGGCCGTTCTTATGTTCTTATCCTTTGGTCCTTCTGGAACTGTATCTGCTGATTCAATTTAGCTAGCATCTCTCCTATCTGCCCATCTTGGACTCTCTTTCTCTTTGCCTACAGAGGGTGGGTCTATTCCCCATGGTTCATGGTGCCATGTGTTTGCCATGGAGGGGTGGAGGACCTAGAAAGGAAAAAGGAAGAGCATATTATTGTCTGATCATTATAAAAAAAATCACGTTGTCTGCTCTATCCAAGGGACTGCATTCATTCAAAGTCAAAAGATTATACTTTTGAGTAACATACACAAGTTCAGTCAGGGGAAGACTGAGGATTAGAACCCACTCCTCCTGAAGCCTAGCTCTTTGTCTGAGCTGGAAATTGAATCCAGGTCTCCTGAGTGCTAGGTATGTGCCCCAGCCATTCTTCCTCACTTATCACAGTATCACCTAGACTCCCCAACCAAAATCACAGCCCCATTGTCTGCTGCACAGTGCATACACTTAGCAAGGGATACTCCTGCTGTAGTTTTGAGTGGAGAAATCATTCCTTGCTATTACTCTTAAAAAGTGCTTCTTAGCATGGCTGAAATGTTCCACCCCAGAGGTGGTTGCATTTCAGTAATGGGTGAGTGATCTCTGCACTACACTCAGAACCAAGCTGCTGCAGACCTCTCCCCATCATCACAGAGCTATCAAAAAGTGAGCTTGGGGAATGACGATATTAGAAAGAGACCAGCTACTGCCATGGCCAGCAAGCCATCTGGTTGGGACATCTGTTAAAGATTGCATGTGGCAAGCTCTCAGACACGCACTAAACTGATGACTTTTCCCTACATTTTTTTCCCTTTTAATGTTCAGATCTTTTGTATCTTTTCCCAGTGACTGAAATTCAGGGAGACCGGGAGCCGGCAGGACAAATCCTCAATTTGCTGTGTCCGCGATAAGATACAGAAATGCACCTCTAATGTCCCTGGGCCCATTGCTCCTTATTGCTGCTGAGCAGGGGTAAGGGATGTCAGGGAGCAAGGTTTGCTCTGCTGGGAATGGCAGGGAATCAATCTCCTAAAATCCACAATTCCCCTGCTTTGTGCCTAGATTCCCAGGGAACTCATGGAGATTAAAGACATCCCCACTGGAGCCCTGTGATTCTTGCCCTCCACCCCTGCAGGTTCCAAGGCAGCACAGTCCCTGCAGGAGCCCCCACTGCCTCCAGCAGATTGGCATGGCCTGATCCCACTCCCATGGCAGTTATCGTGAGTCTTTCCATTGACTTCAGTGGAGCTGGATCAAACCCTTGGGCAGCATGAAACTTGGAATGGGGTGGGCCTGTGCATCTGAGAGGGAGCCATGCCCCAGAGAACAGCCACTCCCCAGCCCCCCACTAGCTCTGTCTGGATGAGCACAGCCTCCATCCCATGAGGCATACACGAAGGGGCCACCAATAGAATTGGATCATTCAAATGAGCTGCAGAGGAAGCGTGGTGATTGGCATGGTAAGGCATCATGTGCAGGAGGGCGGGTACAGGTGATGCTGCAGGGCTGGCATTGCCGGGGGGCACAGTTAAGGTTGTGGTGCATGGTCGGTCGTGTATGGCAGTTGTGTTAAATAGGAGGCAAACACCTGGGATTGGCCATTGTTTAACTTTCACTCATCTCTATGCAGATCTCCCTGGTATCATGCATGATGTCTCCACAACGTATAGATCTACTCAGGCGAAAGGTCCCATCAGGGCAGGTACTGATCACCCGTCCAGAGGTGTAATGTCAAGATAACGCTTGACCTAAACTGAGTTAACCTTAGATTTAAACTAGAAGGAATGAAAGCAGGATCTGGTTCAGTGGGAGTTTTGCCTTAGAGTCCAGAGCCAGGTCAATATATCTGCATCATACTTAGGAGCATAACATATCAGAGCTTGGAGCATAGCATGAGCCCAGATACTATGGTTTTTCATAGATTCATAGACTCCAAGGCCAGAAGGGACCGCGGTAATCATCTAGTCTGACCTCCTGGATAACATAGGCCAGAGACCTGACCCCAAAATAATTTCTAGGGCAGATCTCTTAGCAAAACATCCAACATTGATTTAAAATTGCCCAATTCAGACTGGAAATAAGATGTAAATTTATAAGTGTGAGACAGATCTAACTCGATCCAATGGCTCGACACTGCAGATAGACAAATTCAGACTGGAAATAAGGTGTAATTCAGACTGGAAATAAGCGTGAGACAGTTCTAACTCAATCCAATGGCTAGAAGTTGAAGTTAGACCCGTCTCTGCTAGACTGAAGAGCCCATTTTTAAATCATAGAATCATAGAATCATAGAATATCAGGGTTGGAAGGGACCCCAGAAGGTCATCTAGTCCAACCCCCTGCTCGAAGCAGGACCAATTCCCAGTTAAATACTTGTTCCCCATGGAGAATCACCCCTTAACCTTCTCTTTGTTAAGTTAAATAGATTGAGATTTTTGAGTCTGACACTATATTCTCTAATCCTTTAACCATTTTCATGGTTCTTCTCTGAACCCTTTCCAATTTATCTACATCCTTCTTGAATTGTTGATACCAGAACTGGACACAGTATTCCTGCAGCGGTTGAATCAGTGCCAAATACAGAGGTAAAATAACCTCTCTACTCCTACTTGAGATTCGCCCCTTTATTTATCCCAGGTTCACATTATTTCTTTTGGCTACAGAGTCACACTGGGAGCTGACTATCCACCACGACCCCCAAATCTTTTTTAGAGTCACTGCTTCCCGGGACAGAGTCCCCCATCCTGTACGTATGGCCTGCGTGCTTTGTTCCTAGATATATACATTTATGTTTAGCTGTATCAAAAAACATCGTTTGCTTGTGCCCAGTTTACCAAGCGGTCCAGATCTCTCTGCATAAGTGACCTGTCCTTTTTATTATTTCCCACTTCCCCAACTTTTGTGTCACCTGCAATATTCATCAGTGAGGATTTTATGTTCTCTTTCAGGTCATTGATAAAAAAGTGAAATAGCGTAGGGCCAAGAGCCAATCCCTAAGAACCCCTCACTGGAAACACGCTTGCTTGATGATGATTCCCTGATTACAATTACATTTTGAGACCAATCGGTTAGCAAGTTTTTAACCCATTTAATGTGTGCCATGTTAATTTTATATCGTTCTAGCTTTTAAATCAAAATGTCTTGCGGTACAGCAAGTCAAACGCGGTGCAGAAATCTAAATATATTACATCCACACGATTACCTTTATCAACCAAACTTGTAATATCATCAAAAAATATATTGAGTTAGTCTAAGAGCTATTTTCTATAAACCATGTTGATTTGCATTAATTACATTCCCTCCTTTAATTCTTCGTTAATAGAGTCCTGTATCAGCTGCTCCACTATCTAGCCCAGGATTGACAGTGATGGGCAGCACTATAAAACCCTAAGATGGAACAGGTTTCAGAGTAACAGCCGTGTTAGTCTGTTTTGCAAAAAGAACAGGAGGACTTGTGGCACCTTAGAGACTAACCAATTTATTTGAGCATGAGCTTTCGTGAGCTACAGCTCACTTCATCGGATGCATACCGTGGAAACTGCAGCAGACTTTATATATACACAGAGAATATGAAACAATACCTCCTCCCACCCCACTGTCCTGCTGGTAATAGCTTATCTAAAGTGATCATCAGGTGGGCCATTTCCAGCACAAATCCAGGTTTTCTCACCCTCCAGCAGGAGAGTGAATTTGTGGGGGGGGGGGTGGAGGGTGAGAAAACCTGGATTTGTGCTGGAAATGGCCCACCTGATGATCACTTTAGATAAGCTATTACCAGCAGGACAGTGGGGTGGGAGGAGGTATTGTTTCATATTCTCTGTGTATATATAAAGTCTGCTGCAGTTTCCACGGTATGCATCCGATGAAGTGAGCTGTAGCTCACGAAAGCTCATGCTCAAATAAATTGGTTAGTCTCTAAGGTGCCACAAGTACTCCTTTTCTTTTTGCGAATACAGACTAACACGGCTGTTACTCTGAAAACTGTTGATAATGCAACACAATGTTGATAAATGCAAAGTAATGCACATAATCCCAACTATACGTATCAAATGATGGGGTCTAAATGAGCTGCTCCCACTCAAGAAAGAGATCTTGGAGTCACTGTGGAGAGTTCTCCGAAAACATCCACTCGATGCGCAGCGGCAGCCAAAAAAGCGAACAGAATGCTGGGAATCATTAAGAAAGGGATCGATAATAAGACAGAAAATATTCTATTGCCTCTAGATAAATCCATGGTACGCCCACACCTTGAATAGTGCGTGCAGATGTGGTCGCCCCATCTCTAAAAATATTAATAAGACTGGGACTTTTCTGCTTGGAAAAGAGATGACTCGAGGGGGATATGATAGAGGTCTATAAAAGTATGACTGGTGTGGAGAAGGTAAATATGGAAGTGTTATTTACTCCTCCTCATATCACAAGAACTAGGGGTCACCAAATGACATTAATAGGCAGTAGTTTTAAAACAAACCAAAGGAAGTATTTCTTCACACAACACACAGTCAACCTGTGGAACTCTTTGCCGGAGGATGTGGTGAAAGCCAAGACTATAACAGGGTTCAAAAAAGAACTAGATAAGTTCATGGAGGATAGGTCCATCAATGGCTATTAGCCAGGATGGGCAGAGATGGTGTCCTTAGCCTCTGTTTGCCAGAAGCTGGGAATGGGTGACATGGGATGGATCACTGGATGATTCCCTGTTCTGTTCATTCCCTCTGGGGCACCTGGCATTTGGCCACTGTCGGTAGACAGGACACTGGGCTAGATGGACGTTTGGTCTGACCCAGTATGGCCGTTCTCATGTTCTTCTTAATACATGTAAGCCTGTGACAATGGACGCAGCTCAGTCAGTGGTGGGACTTTCCACTGCCCCAGGCTGGACGAAGCGTTAAAGCAAGGTATTCCAACATTTATAGACTGAGACAAACAATCTGGGATCACAACTTACAGATCACCGTATGCGTTTCAGGTTTTTACCTCCTCTTGTACTTTCCTCCTGATGCTTCAGACAAAACATTCCTATTCACCATCTGTCTTTGTGCTTTTCCTCCTGGTGTTTCAGAGAAGATATCACTATTCATCACTTTTGTCAAACCGTCCTGTCGTGTGCTAGGCTGGGGTGTTCTTGTGGTGGATTGCTGGGGTGTGT